GTAAACTAGTAAACTAGTAAACTAGTAAACTAGTAAACTAGTAAACTAGTAAGTATTGTGTAAAGTAAATGTATAATAATAAAATGTTGATTAACCTTATTTCCCTTTTCCTTTATATTATGGGCTAGGTAGAAAATACAGAATAAATTTCCTTAACCTTTATATAAAGTTAGATTATTACCCTCTCAAATATATTATTTAATGCTAGGGTAAATTATTAGGTTAGATTAATATTATTATTACTGTTGTTATTATCATTATTATTGTTATTATTATTATTATTATTATTATTATCATTATTATAATTATTATTATTCTAGGATTGGGATCACGAGGTGTGGGTGAGCTGCTAGCTATGACCGAGGAAGGGGGAGGGAGGGGGGAACCAGCCCTCATTAAGACCGAGGTCCCTTCCCTCATCTCCTCTAAACCTGGAGTACACTTCCCTCACCGGGATTCCTCCAGCCCTCACTCTGATGCTGACAAGCAGGTCCAGGCCGCTATGGCGATGGCAGCGTTTTACTCCCAGTCTCCACTATGGCAGGCTGCTGTAGCAGCACGAGAAGCTGCTGCTGCCAGGGAGAGATTTCAGCAGCACGCTACAGTTCCGCATCCTGCAGCAGCTGTAGCAGCTTTTAGTCAGCTTCCTGCCAGGCATACTGCTTCAATACCAGGTAAGCAGACAGATTAGTAGGTAGATAAGTATATAGGTAGATAGGAAGTGAGGTAGAGAAGTAGATACGTAGATAGGAAGTGAGGTAGAAAAGTAAATATGTAGATAGGAAGTGAGGTAGAAAAGTAGATATGTAGATAGGAAGTGAGGTAGAAAGGTAAATATGTAGATAGGAAGTGAGGTAGAGAAGTAGATATGTAGATAGGAAGTGAGGTAGAGAAGTAGATATGTAGATAGGAAGTGAGGTAGAAAAGTAGATATGTAGATAGGAAGTGAGGTAGAAAAGTAAATATGTAGATAGGAAGTGAGGTAGAGAAGTAGATATGTAGATAGGAAGTGAGGTAGAGAAGTAGATATGTAGATAGGAGGTGAGGTAGAAAAGTAAATATGTAGATAGGAAGTGAGGTAGAGAAGTAAATATGTAGATAGGAAGTGAGGTAGAGAAGTAGATATGTAGATAGGAAGTTAGGAAAAGTAAATATGTAGAGAAGTAGTGAGGTAGAGAGGCACAGAGGTAAAAAGGTAAACAGGAAGGAAGGTAGACAGGAAGAGAGGTAGATAGACAGGAAGACAATTACATAGATATTTACATTTTGTTAAATTTTCTAAATTATTTCAGGTTTAAATTTCCCTGGATTTCCTGGGTTGGGTTCCATGAACTCAGGGAACTCTGGTTTAAGCCTTGCAGGATCATTGGAGCACTCAAGACAAGAAATATACAGGGATTATTTAAACAAACTTGCACAGTCGACACTAAATATTTCTACCTCAGTTGGGGGGCACTCCCTCCCCTCTCCCACCTACCTACAGTCCGTATCTACCTCAGTAAAGAAGGAGAAACCTAACCGTAGATCCTCAAGTCCCGGACATCAAGATGTTTCATCATCTAAGTCTCCTCTCAGTGTGAATCCATATCTGCAAGGAAGCCCTTCCTACTTCAGTCTCTCCCGACACACCTCACCACCTGAAGGAGGACGGAAATCAGCCGGTTCCTACTCCAGGTCACCTCCTTCAGGGGGCAGGGGCAGGAACAATTCTCAGTCAGGACGAGACAAGGTGTTTACTTGCAACATTTGCAATCGGTCTTTTGGATATAAACATGTACTGCAGAACCATGAGAGGACGCATACCGGAGAGAAACCATTCGAATGCAAGGAGTGCCATAAAAGGTAAACAAACAGACAAACAAACAAACAAACACTTGATTTAAACTATGTACTATTAGTAAAGTGTCCCGTTAAACTTTGTTACCAAGTTCTGATTCCTTTTTCAAGATTAATTTTCTAAGCCCGTAACCGGGGGGGGGGGGGGGAATGGGCGTGTACCCCCGCAAACATTTTAACATCAAATTTAAGTTTAAATACGTGTTGTTTTACTGTTTAAAATGGTTCAATTCCCCTTCCCCCCTGTATACCCCCATCCCTGCAAATACTCTCAGTTCTGATCATCATCACATTAGTTTTATCAATTTGTTTAATTATTGTTTATTATTGTTTATTTTTCTCCAGGTTTACAAGAGATCACCATCTAAAGACGCACATGAGACTTCATACCGGAGAGAAACCGTACTCCTGCACACACTGTGACCGACAATTCGTCCAGGTTGCAAACCTCAGGAGACACTTGAGGGTTCATACAGGAGAGAGACCATACAAGGTAATATTGACACAATGCAACATCATGCTAAAAGGGACTGTTCATGAGATTTTAAAAAGGGGCAAAGTACAGAAATTTGATTATGCACTGATTGGTAAAAATTTTTTCTTTCGATCAATATTTTTTTTAAGTAATCGAGAATTCTCTTTGCATTTATTAACACTGAATAGTAATCTTTTTCTAACAGGGTTCCCCAAGAAAAGTTATATTAGCCATTCATTTTACTAATTTAGAAAAAAAATTATTTTAAGTGCGAGCTTTGTCCCAGTAACTTCTCTGATTCGAACCAACTGAAGGCACATATGCTTATACATAAAGGTAACACAATATTTCTATTCTAATAAGGAAACTATACCCTCAGGAGTAAAAATGTAACCGAAGGATATGTGATGGACTGAAAGGATCTGAATACTCTAATTTTATAAATCTTATATATGTGCAACCAGAGCTGGGAACTTTTGAATTGTGGAGATCGGGATTAAGGCTTGATCCACTCTTTTTCTTAATCTCGAGATTAAATAGTGCTTGTTCTCCTCTTGTTTTTAATCTCCAGATTAATTAACCGATCGGGATTAAGGAAATTCCATTCTAAAGTTTTCACCTTAGATGTCGTAGCCGTTTGATATTTCAAACTATGAATTATGATAGATTTAAAAGTCAAGGTTTATAATATTTTTATTGTTTAGGTCAATCCTTGTCATCCTTGAAGGAAGAATTGCTTTTCCGCCATTCTTTAGCTGGTGGGTTTCCCCTACAGTATCCAACCCATCCTTCTCTCCTAGATACAGAGGTTGATAGAACCAGTCTTAGTCCTGGATCCAAGGACACAGGCTCCGGAGATTCTCCGTCCCACGGGGAGAACATGTCAGATTCTAACAGTGAGAAAAAAAGGTCTAGAAAACAGAAACCAAGACGGGTTGTTCAATGGCCGGAGGAGGGAGAGAGTCCGGGAGAATACGAGGAGAGAAACTATGGTTCTGCCAAGAGAGAACGGCATTCCTCCGAGTTTAGTCACGAGGCTCCGATTCAGAATGAACCTGAGGATTTAACAACTAAACCTAAACTTGAAGCTCTGAAAGCGTATCACAAGAAGAGAGAGTCTGAGTATAGTTTCAGTAACTACAGGAGGGAATCAGAGGAGGATATTAAACCGGAGAAGGAGGAAGAGTTTCCAGGTCTAAAGAACTCCGAGGGAGAAAGATCGGAGGGAAGCTCTCACTCCCCACACTCTACTCAGAGGGAGAAGTTTAGAATTGATGAAGCTGATGATGAAGATGATGATGATAGAGGAGTATCTCCTCCCTTGACCCATCCTCCTCTATATAATCCTTTGTTCTCTACCCCTGCTGCTATACAGCTAGGGTTGGCTGGAACTACAATGCCCCTCTCCTCTCTCTCACAGAGATATAACGGAGACAAGGAGTCAGATAGACTTAACATAGTTACTCATAAGGAGATCAGTCAGCAGTAAGCATACCAGCAGGTGCAGGGATATCCAGGACACAGAGATATAGGGATATTCAGGATACATAGGTACAGAGATATCCGGGATACAGAGATATAGGGATAATCAGGATACCGAGAAACGGGTATATCCAAAAACAGAATTACAGGATACTGGGATATCAGGATACAGAGTTAGAACAAGGAGATATCCAGGATAAAAAGATAAGGTGAGGATATCCATATTACATGATCAATGGATACAGAGTTAAACAAGAATATTCCAAAACTATCTCGAATTATGAGAATCCTTAAAATATATCCTTAGAATATAATAGAATAGAATATGGAATAACTGGATATCAATAGTACTCTATGAACTACCTGAATATCAACATTTCCCCACCTGGATATAAACGGTACTCTATGGACTACCTGAATATCAAGAGTCTCCCACCTGGATATTAACAGTACTCTACAACTACCTGGATAAGGTTCCTGATGCAGATAAGAGAAAATAAAATTAATGCAGAGACCCTCGGATATAAAAGATCAACAGAATATCATATTATATGAAGGGGCACCTCACACCTCTGCCCCCCCCCCCTTCTCATCCTTTACCATCATAAACTGATCTCTTTTTCTCTCAATCCTCAGTTTTTGAATTCTTTGAAAAACCTCAGAATCAAAAGTCACGCACTAAGGTTGAATCGGATTAAAGTAAATCCAATTCTTCAGATTTTAGTTCCTTTTTACCTCGACAATACGGGTCAATATATAGTTGTTGCATTCCAGTGTTTGGAGTTGTAGTTGTACAAACTACAAACTATCCTTTATTTTCAACTGTGCTCTCAAATTTATGTTTTAAACTAAAAATATGGATTTCTGCTCCGATATTAAAGGAATTCATTTTTTAATTTAGTTTATTTTAAGTTTTTATTGCACAATTGATCAATGTGAAGGGGGCGCTGTCCCCAACTATTCTAGTTTTTAGTGCACAGTTGATCAATGTGAAGGGGGCGCTGCCCCCAACTATTCTACCTCATTTTTATTTTGCGGGTGTTCTGCTAGTATAATATTGTTTGTATTTTCTATCATTTTTACATTTCTTCCATTTTTTTTGTCCCACCCTTTATATTTCAGATTATTAAATGAGATCCCAAGTACAGTGAACATGGACTTCTTTGTTACATTCTTATAAAAACACCTCCTAATGATTTTAAGAACATTTTTAATCAAGCAACAATTTTTGTTTGTGCTTGTTAAAATGTACAAATATTTTTATTTTAACTATGTTTGTAATTTTACAATGAACGTCAATTCCCCTCACTATCCCTGTATTCTTGAAGTTTTTCTTCTTTGGTACAGTCTTTTTTATTACTCAAATCGTGCCAAAAAATTTAAATTTTTCAGAAATAGCCAAAACTTAATTTTTGCGGGTATATTAATCAAACTGTGCCAAACTTTCCTATCTCTTGCTCATCCTACTGATCTATTTAAAGCCAATCTTACAATACATACACACACTACATGAGTGAATAAGAGTGCAAGAGTGCGTGTGTTTAGTGTGAGTGTGTGTTGAGTGAGTGTATGTATGTATGAGAGTGCGTGTGTTTAGTGTGAGTGTGTGTTGAGTGAGTGTATGTATGTATGAGAGTGCGTGTGTTTAGTGTGAGTGTGTGTTGAGTGAGTGTATGTATGTATGAGAAGCTAAAACTAACTCTATAAGACTGAATGTACGACCTGCTAGTCTCATCATATATAAGACTGAAAAATGTAAAAAATAGCAATTTCAAGTTGTTAAATGTAACCTTTGTAAACCTATGTAAACTATGTACGTATAAAAACTATTCTACCATTCAACCGGTGTTTTAGAATCGGTACCAGTACTTGAAAAGGGCATATATAAATAAAAACGATGCTAAAACCTCACTAGTTATACTTTTAAAGATAATATGATTGTTGTTAAGATGCAAGTGTACACTGCGAGTTATAAACCTATATATTTTCAATCTTATTTCAGACCTTACATAGATCATGTGAACATATGTATTATTCTTACATATACAATATACAATACATGTATAGATGTTTTCATGTATTCTGATCGTTTAGTCGGAAATAAGTTTGGATGTTCAACTACCTCTTATATTCGTACATAATGCTAATATATAATAAAACATTTTATATATTAGCATATATTTAATATATAATAATAGCTATACGCAGTGCAATACTACACAATTGTTTTGAAAATGATTATTTGTGATTAAATTGATTAATTCATTAATTAGCTAAACTTCAGTAATTTTATGTATAATTAAATATAATTAGTTTTCAACCTAGTTTTTTTAAAACTTTTAGTTCATTTAATTAATTCAATTTTTCCCTATATCTCTCTCTTCTTATTTTCTCCATTCTCAATTTTGCATCCACACATTTCCCTTTTATCCCTCCTATTTCTCCTTCTTTTTTTTTGCATTTTTTCATCCTAGCTCTCCGTCTCTTCTTCCCTTTTCTCCGTCTCTTCTTCCCTTTTCTCCGACTCTTCTTCCCTCTTCTCCGTCTCTTCTTCCCTCTTCTCCGTCTCTTCTTCCCTCTTCTCCGTCTCTTCTTCCCTCTTCTCCGTCTCTTCTTTCTCCGACTCTTCTTCCCTCTTCTCCGGCTCTTCTTCCCTCTCTTCGCCATTTTTTCCTTTTATTCGCCACTCTTTTCCTTCTTTCAGCCCTTTCTTTCCTCCTCTCTGCATATTCTTCCTTCATTCCGCCTCTTATTCCCTCCATCCGCCTCTTCTTCCCTTCTCTTTGTCTCTTTGTGTTGTCTATCTGTGTAAGCGTTTCTCACGGCAACATATGCGAACTTGAAGTAGGCCAGGGTTAAGCGGAGGGTGGGGGGAGGAGGAAGGGTGAAATAGGGTTATCTCTCCTTTCGCCTTCAACTCAGGGTTAACCCCCCCCCCTTCCACTTTCATTACTCTGCATAGTTGGCCTTGCAGCACAAGCAATCAAACGGCCCCCACCCCTTCAGTTCTCACAGAATTAAATCCACCCCTCATTTACCCGCATATACAGGGTTAAGTGAGGGAGAAAGGGTAATACTACATAACCCCCCCCTCCCTCTCTGTAGGATGTTTATCAGTTGGAAGTTTCAGGGTTAAGTGCATAAAGGAAGTTGAACGTTGCATTAGGGGAGTGTGTAGAGGGTGTGGGTCCAATATTGAGCTTTTGTGTGAATATTGAAAAATCTATTCAAATAGGAGAATATTCGACAAAAATTACCCTTTTCCAGCTTTTATAACGTTATAACGCTAGGATTAAAGGCGGGGGGGGGGGACATTTGCATAGATTTTTATATTTTTCCATGGATTGGATTTATTCAACGTTTTCAATTTAACCCTTAGCTGTCAATCTTATATAAATGAGCATACTAAAAAATCTACATACAGACAAAAAAATATCCGTTAAATATTAAGCCTTGGTTATAACAAGAAAATTATAAAAAAATATTCTTCTGGAAGTTTCTTACCACCCTTTCACTACAGTTTGTGAAAAGGGTAGAACCATAGAGAGGAGATAAATCTTGTAAATTGTCCTTTTTCCTCCCCCACCCACACATGGAACAGGGCACACTTTATTAGAAATTAGGAAATAATCCCTTTAATTCAGGGACCATTTTTAAAAACTTTAAAAGCTATTTTTTGAATTTATAGATTTGAAGCCATATATTCAACCCTGACAAATGTCTGCTGCCCTATATATTATAATTAGGGCTTACTGCTAGCAGCACTATATTTTAGAATTAATAAACTCAATTCAGGGTTGCATCTCTTCACAAACATTGATAATAAATACTTTTCTAACAAAATTATCTTTTCTTGACAAAAACCGCTAACATTATGTACTTTTTATTTGTGGAGAACTGACTAAACCTAATATCAGCTTGTCAAGATTTGTATTCAACCAGATCTTAGATATACAGGGCGTATCATAATATTCAACCAGATCTTAGATATACAGGGTGTATCATAATATTCAACCAGATCTTAGATTTACAGGGTGTATCATAATATTCAACCAGATCTTAGATATACAGGGTGTATCATAATATTCAGCAAGATCTTAAATAAACAGGGTGTGTCATAATATTCAACCAGATCTTAGATTTACAGGGTGTGAAATAATATTTAACGAGATCTTAGACATACAGGGTGTATCATAATATTCGACTAGATCTAAGATTTACATGGTGGCATCGGGTTACTTGAAATTATGCCTACAATCCCTTTAAATTTTATACTTTTTAAAACATTTTTAAACCTAAAATTGCTCCAGCCCAAAGAAAATGTCTAAACACTGAATACGCTGTAGGTATAAAGAATGTTGAACTAGGAGAGAAAATAATAAAATTAGTCCACGCTTTATTGGGATCAAAGTAGTTTAATTAAACAGTTGAACTTTACTACAGGGTGTCCTGATAAACGGGGGACTTTGATCGACGCCACAATTTTTTTCTGAATACAATTTAGCAATTAAAACAAATAACACCAGAATCTCCATTTTGGAAATTATCAAAATTTGGTATGCCACTTTTCTGTTGCATATTGTTTCAACATTTAATATCTTAACTTGATAGATATCTTTTTATTTCCATGTTTATTTGGACACCCCCTACTAGGTTTATATATCTACATAGTTAGTTAGAATTAAACCTACTCCACGCAGCATGAATACGATTTAAAGGGAGGGAAGGGGAGGGCAGGGGAGGGAAGGGGAGAG